CCCTCACCTCGTCCCACACCCCAACCCCAATTCTGTGAGCATTCATGGCCTGCCATACAATTTCTATTCCCCGTTGTGGCCCTCAGGCATTTGCCCACCCCTGGTCTAGAACTTGCTCTGTGAAAACGTTTAAAGGGGAGAAGTATCAAAAAAGGAAACCAAAGAATATTCACTTTTAGGAGCCATGTAATAGTGACAGTAGAAGTCCAAGGGGCTGGGAACTGAGGTTATTCTCCTAAAATGTGGATGTTTATAAACAGCCACGCCTCCTGATTCTGCAAATTTAGGCTGGAAATCTCATGAAAATCAGCTTTTTTTAAAGAGAGATTTGGGTACTTCTGCATCTGTTCCTGGCCAGAAATACTGCGGGAGTTATGGTATTTTGGCACGCATGGCTTGATCCTCAGCTGGTGTCCTTCAACAGAACCACACTGATTTACACCAGCTGGGGATCTGAGCAGGGGTGCTGGAACAATGCATATAGTAGGGGTGCTGAGAGCCATTGAACTAAACTGTGAGCTATGTATATAATGGAAACCACTTCAGGCCAAGGGATGCTACAGCCACCCCCAGCACCCCTAGTTCCAGCACCTATGAATCTGAGCCTCACAGAATAAAGCACAGCCAAAACCTGAAAGTAGAAGATGGGGTGGGGTGTGGCAAACCTTTCATAGACTTTAAGGTCAGAAGGGACCATTGTGATCATCTAGTCTGACCTCCTGCACATTGCAGGCCACAGAACCTCACTCACCCACCCACTCCTGTAATAGACCCCTAACCTCTGGCTGAGTTACTAAAGTCCTCAACTCGTGATTTAAAGACTTCAAGGTACAGAGAATCCACCATAAAAACTGCCTGAACCATAAGGTTTTATTTTAAGTTTGCCCAAAAAAATGAGCAAAAGTTTTAGAGGGATTTACATTTTCTGCTCTGTTTTGCCCATCCCTGCTTTATAAGTGCTGGGAAAAGTGGACTTGGAGTGTCAGAGGAGACCAGTTTCAGTAAAGCAAGGAGTAAGTGTTATTTGGTGGCAGTATCATAGAATATCAGGATTGGAAGGGACCTCAGGAGGTCATCTAGTCCAACTCGCTTGCGCAAAGCAGGACCAATCCCCAATTTTTGCCCCAAATCCCTAAATGGCCCCCTCAAGGATTGAGCTCACAACCCTAGGCTTAGCAGACCAATGCTCAAACCACTGAGCTATCCCTCCCCCGACCCAGAATGCATAGTTCACACCAATCTTCTAGTGTCATCTCAGGCCAGAACAGAAAATGTTCCTATGGCTACATATAGGATGTCTCTGTAAACTCTAAGTTGTAAGTGCTGGAATGGAGAGGATGATAGGGGGTGGGGGAAAGCAGTGTCCCCTTCCTTGCATCCCTCAACCCATTCTTCACCAAAACATAACAATCAGATAGGACAGGGGGAGGTCTTGATGGGAGTGGTAATTCCTTATTTAGTGGGTTGTTAGGCACAAGGCTGAGGGCCATGTCTTATGTGAATGTAACGGGCAAGAAATAGGATAGATTATAAACTCTGTGGGGCAGAAGCCATCCTTTTGTTCTGTGTTTGTACACCACCTAGCACCGTGGGGTCACGGTCCATGACTAGGGTTCCTATGCAGTACGAGAACGCAAAGAATGCCAGCATAGTTAAAATCACACACTACTTCTTTAGCTCTTGCTGAGCACAATTACTTGAACAAAAGAGAAGGTAACATTTTTATCTTCCCCGAGGAGCGCTTTCCTGGAGAAGTAGGATGGTCTCGTGGGTAAGACAATGCATGGAGATGCAAGGAATCTGGGTTTAATTCCTGGCTCTGCCGCAGACCTGGAAAAGTCACTTCATCTCTCTGTGTCTCAGTTTGCCCTCTATAAAACTTGTTGGGTCTACTTAGATTGTAAGCTTCTCAGGGTAGGGACCCCCTCTTACTATGGCTTTATAATGCCTAGCACATTGGGGCATTTAGGTGGTACCCTATGAATAACAACAGAAGTGGTGCTTCAAAGGGAATCCATGACTCCCGTGCAGCACGGGTGGTTGGACTCAGCCGATAGCTGGGCAGCTTTTAATTAGTTTTCTTTAGTTAAAATTCAGGAGCCACAATCTAATAGCAAGCAGCCATCCCAGCATGTGCATTAGCAAGATACAGATGCGTGTCTTGTCACTGCATGCCAAAAGCACCCAGCCTTCCCTCCTTGTGTCTCACAATGCACTCCGGACATGCACCAGTACCTACTAATGCACACCCTCTTGTGGCTTGTCGTAATAATGGCTCGATCTTTACTGTTGTCTTTCAGACCTCAGCCTGTTGGTCACAGTAAGGGTGACTTGACAGACAGCCCAGCGTTAATGTCACGCCATGCATGTTTGTTATTTATATTGTGATATCATGGGGGGGGGGTGATAAAGGAGGCAGGGAGGGACCAGGACCCCACTGTACTAGCTGTCGTACAAAGACTCCCTGTCCTGAGTTGCTTACTGTCAAAGCACGACATTCGGCTTTACTGAGATGTAATACATGACTCTTCTGTCACCTGTTCTGGAATACCATTTCATGGCACGTGGCGGGGCAATGACGACTCACTGCTGTGGTGCCCACTGCTGGTTGTCCAGGGAATTAGCGCTTTCCAGCCCCGGAGCACCCTCTGCCAGCTCATGTCTCGCCTGCTGCTGGCCCCCGGTGTCCCTCCCGGACCCTGGTGCCCTTTACTCAGGGGTTCTGCCCACCACAGCAACCCACAATCTGGGCCTCCCCATTCAGGTGAGCCCCCAACGCCCTATCTCCACCTCAGTGACTACTGCCTGTCACCATCTAGCCCCCGCTCACTGGGGTAGACTGCAGTCTGTAAAGGCCACTCATCTTTGGCAAGGAGGGTTTGGATCTGCTGCCTCTGCCTATCTCTGGGCTGCCCCTCGGTACCCTTTGTGGGTCCTTATCTCGGCCTGCAGCCTGGGGTTTTGCTAGGCTGGAACTCCCTAGCTCCCTCTGCCCTTCCCCAGCACTGCTCCACCCTAGGTACCCTCCTCAGCTTCCCAGGCAGACAGGTCCTTCTCTCTCTGCAACTAGAGAGAGACTGCCTTTCCTTCTGGCCCACTGCCCTCTTATAAGGGCCAGCTGGGCCCTGATTGCACTGGCTACAGCTATGGCTGCTTTCCCAATCAGCCCAGCTTTCCCTCTGCCACAGCCCTCTCCCAGGGCTGTTTTAAGCCCTTCAGGGCCGGAGCGGGGAAACCACCCTGCTGCAGCATCCGTTTTGGAAATCTGGCCTTTATAAAGAACCAGAATGGTGTGCTCTGCAATGGTGTTATTTCCAGGCATTGGAATGGATGGGGCCCAATGCAGGGGCTGGGAGGGTCATGCGGATTCTGCCAGACTCATTCAAGGAGTAGAGTGTAATTTACCAGTCAGCCCTGCCTCAGGGGGAGTACGTAGCTGTGCGGGAGCAGACCATGCAACAAAAGGAACATTTCAATTCATTCCATCCCGCCCTACTTCCTCCAGGAAGGACGTAATCTTGCTGCTGGTACAGATCAGTAGCAGGTGACTTCCCCCTCTGCACTGGGCCATTGCTTTTAAGTGGAGAGGGTGAGGGAAACCAAGCCTGTGCCCATTTCTTTCCCACCCCCCTGCTACTCAAACTTCTCCCCTTTGCCTGACAATTCAAAGAAGCATTTTACAATCCAATGTATTTACATGCCACTCCTCTCAAAATATGCATGGTGCATACCCAGTTAATTGTCACATAATCGCTCACCTGCTAGGATATTCACTGATCACCTGTCTACTCATTTGTCACTTAATGCAGCCTTTGAGTTGACAAAAATTAAACTGTCAAACTAATTCAGCTACTCCAACAGAGTTATCTTGTAATTTGCATTTAAAGAGCAGCCCAGTGGAGCATGTTCTCCCCACAAGGTCACCAGTGATGATGCAGGTAGCCCATGCCAGGGAATTAAAGGCTTACCTGGGACTCCCTTACTCCCCCTGACTGGGTGCATAGGAAGTAAGACAACCTAGCCTTAAGGAAAGACCATGGCGTATTCTAGACAGCCAGTGCATAGGGTGTCAGCCACATAGGGACAAAAGTGCATGAGATCACTGACCATGTTGTACCATTTTCCGTTAAATGCTTGTTTCCACAGGGGGAAAATAATCGAGGGCAGCTGAGCTGAGCAATAATTTTTCTTGCTATCTGACATTGACAGACACCCGTTTCTGCTCTGGGATGGAGACTCATGTAGCTGTTTTGCACCTGCTGGCTGTTTTTTGAATACTGTATGAACAGATAATGTTCTAAGGCCATGGTTCTCAACCAGGGGTACACATACCCCTGGGGATATGCAGAGGTCCTCCAGGGGGTACATCATCTCATCTAGATATTTTCCTAATTTTACAATAGGCTACATAAAAAGCATGGGTGAAGTCAGTGCAAACTAAAATTTCATATGGACAATGACTTGTTTATGCTGCTCTATACAGTATACGCTGACATGTAAGTACAATATGGATATAATATTGATTCCAATTGATTTATAATTGTATGGTAAAAGTGAGAAAGTCAGCAATTTTTCAGTAATAGCATGCTGTGACAATACTTATGTATTTTTATACCTGATTTTGTAAGCAAGTAGTTTTTAAATGAGGTGAAACTTGGGGGTACGCAAGACAAATCAGACTCCTGAAAGGGGTATAGTAGTCTGGAAAGGTTGAGAGCCACTTATCTAATGCTCTTCACCTATTTCCTCCTTTTTTGATTCCTTTCCTCCCTTGCTTTGTACATTTCAGCAGCTTCACAGAAGCTTGGGATAGTAAATTAAAGCAATGTCCCTCCCTAGCTTTTAACTTACCCCTGCCTACCTTTCAAATAGCTCTCCGGGCTTCCTTCTCTTCTCGATCTTTCCTGACGATTGTCGCCATGAAAGGAAACCTGATCTCATTCATTGTGAGCTATGAATAACATAGTTAATTTTTTCTCCCCCCCTCTTCTTTATGTCAGATTGAGACTGTACCCACGGATGCTCAGGGATGTGTCTGTCATGGACCTGTCAACCGCTGTCTTAGGGCAGAAAATCAGCATGCCAATATGTGTTGGAGCAACTGCCATGCAGAGCATGGCTCACGTGGACGGAGAAGCAGCTACCGCCAGAGGTAAATCACCACAGCAGAGAAACCCCCTTGAGCAAATCAAAGAGATGAATGGAATGACATTGAGCTTGCAGCTCATGAATCTTTGCTTTGTTTCTTGCTGGTGATTCTTTTCTACAAATGGCTTTTAGTTGTTGCTGTCAGGTTTTTTTTGTTTTGTTTTTGGGGTGGTTTTTTTTTTTTTTTTGGTTCTCCCTCAGTGTGCAACGGTGTTGAGAAATGAAATGACTCAGCGGCTGAGGCATTGGGCCCAAGTTAATAACCATTTCATAATCCATGTTTCAAAACAGCTATACATAATTACAAAAGCTGTAAGGGCATTTTGAAACCACTGATCGTTAAGCCCATGTACAAGCAGATAATAGCCTCCGCTCGGTGGAGTTGTATGCACGCCTAATCCTCTGCTAGTCTAAGTGGCATAACTCCACAATGGAGCGACACCAGTTCACACCAGCTGAAGATCTGGCTTCTGTGGAGTATGAAACTGACCCAACACCAATTGGAATACATTTTGGCACACAGGAACTTGTTCTGGATCAGGGAGAGATGGGGTAGTGACGGCAAACATTTCTCTGTTCCCAGGAGAATGACATTTTTCAAAGATTGCAGGTGCCTACATATTAATTCTGTCATGAGTGTTATAACCTGGACACTTTGTGTGATGAGCATATCTTCCACCATGTTCTCTTTATTCTCTTTCAGCCAAGTAAGTTTTGTGCTTGGTTTGCTATTCCTAAGGGAGTCACCACAGTTATGGCCATATGGTGGCGGTGTCCTCTCTCTGGAGAAAGTGAATAAGGAATTGTTATTTACCCCTTCATATAACACAGGAACTAGAGGTCACCAGATGAAATCAATAGGTAGCAAATTTAAAACAAACAAAAATAAATTCGTCTTCACACAACGCAAGGTCAACCTGGGGAACTTGGAACTTGTCATCGGAAGTTGTGAAGGTCAAAAGTATAACTGGGTTAAAAAAAGAATCAGATAAGTTCATGGAGGATAGGTCCATCAATGCCTATTAGGCACGATGGTCAAGGATACAAACCCATGCTCCGGGTTTCCCTAAACCTCCAACTGCCAGAAGCTGGGACTGGATGACAGGGATGGATCCATGGTAGTTAGAAACTCCCACCTTTTGCCTTGGGATGGAGACCCCTACAACAGTCTTTGGGGAGTCAGGATTTCACCTGTAATCGCTCCATCACCGTGGTCAGAACAAACTAACATCAGCAAACAGCCCACGTGCCGCTCCAGCATCACTCCCCCAGCCACCCATCGGGGCACCCCTTTCCTTTGGGCTATGGCTAGTCTTTGTGCAGTGCATTACAAGCGCACAGTGGACAGACAGACCAGCTGCTCCCTGGGCCTGTCCCCTTGCCCCAAGCTCAGACACTCTGTTGCTGTGTCCCTGCAACAGCAGCAGGTGTCCATCTGCAATGACTCTCCACCGTTCCTTCCACAGTAACTTTCTCAATGTTATTTCCATCGTCTAATATGACCAAATTACATCCATTTGCATCTGTTGATTTCTGACATCAGGGTCTGTTTCTCTCCAATAGTATCTCTAACACAGCAATCCATCTTTTTTTTTTTTCCATCCAGGAGATATGCAAGAGTCTTTGCCAGCACCACATTTCAAAAGCTTCAATTTTCTTCATGTCAGCAGCATTGATGTCCCATGATTCACATCCATAAATCGCTAGGGGAAAAAAATTAGGCTTTTCACCAGTTGCACCTTCATATATTCCGAGATACCACAGGTTTCCCACACTTTCTTAAAGGAGGCCATAGCTGAGCAAGCTATCCCTAGTCTTCTGATTTCTTTGGGACAGCCTCCTCGGTTGGTGTGTATGATCCCAGATAACTGAATTCGTCTACTGCTTCTGTTGAACATCATATCTTTTAAAGTTTTAATTTGATTTTTGGAGCTAACAGCTGATGGTCTGACCCACAGTCTGCACTCAGGACAGTGTTTGTTCAATGGACACTCGATCTTCAGTATTGCTATATCATTACATAGTTGATTTGGTTCTTTGGCATATGCTCTCATGTATAAATATCTAGGTTGTTGGGTGAAGATGGTGTTTGTAATAACCAAGTGAGCAGAGGAACAGAATTCAGCTTTCATTCTGTGAACCCAGACCATTTCCCCCCATTACTATTTTATGAAAGCTTACAGCTCCAACTTTAGTATTCAAGTCCCTAATTACAGCAATGGTATCTTTACGCTGTGTTTTAGTGAGTGTCTCTTCAAGTTGTTCACAAAACCCGTCAATCATATTGTCATCAGCTGCTGTTGTAGGGGCATAAACCTGTATACTCAACTTCTTGACAGGCTACTCTCTAAGGTGAATTGTAATGATTCTGTCACTGATTGGATTTTATCCAAGCACACACTATGATGTTTCTGCCGATGACATAAATGCATGCCCATTTTCTCAGATCCTGAATAGTACACTTGTATCCATCCATTGTCATGAAATGACCCCCTACCCTTCCAATGCAGCTCTGAGTTCCATATATTTCTGTCCTACATCTTTCCAATTCTTTGGTCACAATGGTGAGCTTCCCTTCATACAGACTCCTCAAGTTCTATGTTCCTACTCTGATGATTCATTTATGAAGGTTCAAGTCATTCTTTTCCTTGGTGCAAGGATTTGGTACAACATCATCATAACCACAGCTTGTATTGATGGCTGGAGCCTCTTCTCCAGTATAATTTGCCACACCTTCTGGCTTGGGGAGCTCACTGTCTAGTGCCACCCATGGATTACTTTACCTTTGTTCTGCTATTATAGTTCTCATGGGTGAAAGTACAGAGAGTGGTTTCCCATCGCTTTCTCTCCAGTTTGTTCTCTTCCATCTGCCATTGGTTAAATCATGATTTACCTCTTCTGCCTTCTGATGACATTTCCTTCCTTGAGGTCCTACTACCTTCCGCAAGTGCACATCCATCTGAAGGATTTGGCACTTGCTGAGGTTTGCCAAGTCACTTAACTGCTTCTCAGCACACAGCATGGACCAGCTGCAGGTGGTACCATCTACTGCCATTACACTAGCAGGCTACAAAGCCTGACCTGACCTACGGGAGGTAGGCATGGGATTTTTAGCCACCTGCCTAGCCAGCTGGGGCTTTGGGCACAGAGAGCTGGTCCTTCCCACTGTTGATACGTGGAGAGGAGAACTCCACACCAGAACAGAAAACTCAATTCCTGGTGGGTTTAGGAATTGGGAGCAGAATTTGGGCCTGGTTTTCAGGCTCAACTGGATGCTTCAGCAGTAGTTTGTGGCTAGGCAGTTACATTTATGGGAACAAGGCTAAAATATTCTCTTGTATGTTTTAAGGATGAGGGGATGAACTTATCAGTTCAGTGTGGCCAAGGTCTCATTTTTAAATTGTTTTTACTTGTGTTGCCCTTTGGAGCACTTTAGCATTTAGCCATGCACTTCCCATTACAGTAAAAGGGAATTAAAACATGCATAACTCTGGAGATGTACCTGTTGTTTCTTCCCTGCCCTCCATACACTCACATAATCCCGTCTGCTCACAACACCTTGCTCAGCTATAACAGAATTATTTTAGAATTAGGGGCCAGATCCTCAGCTGGTGTCTATCGGCATAGCTCCACTGGAGGAGCCGTCGAAGGTCTATCCCATTGTTCTTAGCACTACGTATTAGCAACAATTTCTTTTCTGGCTCCAGTTCCTGAAAAAGTCAGCCAGGTAAGATGAGTATTGTGGGAAAGGAATTGCCACCTGAGCCAGTTCTGCAGCGGGTATAAATCAGCGTAGCTCTGCTGGAGTCCATGGAGCTGCACCAGTTTCCTGGTCTACCATTTTTATTTCTTCTCTTCCTTCCAGACATAGGCACGCTCTGAGGCACAGAATGAACGGTGGCATGCTCACTGCCATCATTATATCTCGGTAAAAGAGAGAAGGGACAAATCATGAAGCGATTATATTCTTTGGAACCAAATGAATCCCATTTCAACCGTGACATGGGCCAATGGCTGCAAACGTCGGGGATCTAATGCCAGGCACTAATTTAATGTGTAGGGTCTTAAATCAAAGTGGCCTTCAAAGCTACTGAGCACATGCGTCTCCATCTGGCTTCAGATGAGAACCATGTACAGCCAGCACCTTTGAAGAGCAGGTCACTTTGATTTACTTGCCTCTATTTAGGCACCCAGTTGTGAAAAATTTGGCCTTTCATTTAGAAACATTCTTCTTTAAAAGAACATCTGTGGGGGCCACTTGCAACCTGATGGCGCTTCAGGGTAACAATGGTTTGTGGCAGAGATAAACATGGAAAAGTGCCATCAGCTTAAATACATGGCAAGCAAACAGGAGCAAATGACAGGTGTTTGCATTGTCGGAGCTACAAAGTGCAGATGGTTGTATGGAAGCCCTGCAGAACTCCTTGAGATTTTGGCAGATTCTCACTGGGTGTCAATCATCTATGGATCAATTTTGCTTCTATTTTGCACCCTTTTCTCTGACCCTTTGTCTGTTTTTCTTTTGTAAACTTCCTGGGACAAAGACTATGACTTTCGAGGTGTCTGCACATCATCACATGCTTTTTGGAATCAACTGTAATATAAATAATGCTTTATAGATTCAGAGATTTTAAGGTCAGAAGGGAACATTCTGATCATCTAGTCTGACTCCTCATATAAAACAAGCCAAAGAACCTCACCCATTAAGATCTGCCCCAAACCCATGACTTCTGCTTGGGCCATAGCATGTCTTTTAGAAAGACACCCAGTCTTGACTTGGACTCCGAGTGATGGGGAATCCAGCATGTCCCTTGTGTGCCCGATTTCTAGTCTGAATGTCTCTCGCTTCAGGTTCCAACCACTGTATCTTGCTATGCCTTCATTTGCTAGATTAAAAAGCCCTCCACTGCCAGAAGTCTCTTCCCCATATAGGTACTTACAGAGCTGGAGCAAATCACCTCTTAACCTGCTCCTCAATAAATTATATGGATTGAGCTAATGTAG